TGAGGTAGGTGTCTTGTGGCTCCTCTTACACTATTTGTACAGACTGGACTCTCTGGACTCTTTCTGTGATTTCAGCTCTTAGTGTAAATACCACCTCATAGAAACCTGTCTGTTGTTTTAAAGCAGTCACCCAGCACTTTTTTATTATCCTACTTTCTCTGCAGAGACTGAGACTGATACTTCCTTTCTTTGTTGATTTCTTCCTTTTTTTTTTTTTTTTTTTTTTTGCTTGATAACCTCTGTCAAATTCAGGGACCTTGTCTTTTCACTTTATTTCCTAGCAATTGACATGTATAATGAGAAAGAATGAAGTCATGAGGCTTCATTTAACTGCCTCCTCCTTATCTATGTATTTGTTGCTGTCTAAACCCATTTTGGTCCCCTTTCTTCTAGTTTTAGGAGTCTATTTAGTTGGTGTGGTCCTTCTGACCTGCATTTCAAGTTTCATTTCCTATTGTTTTACCAGGAGTTCATTATCATTCTTCTTCTGAGCTGTGGCATCAAATTACAATGAGATTTGGAATGTAATGCAAATTGAGAACCATTTGTTTTATTAATATAAAGTTTTAACTGTCCAGTTTAGAATATAATGGTCTTCTGAATGGTGCCTTTCTTCTTGGTTAAGTTGTTCCTTTCTTAGTACTTCATGGAATGAGTAGCTTCCTAAAGTAATGCTAAAATATTTATACATCAAGTATTTTTGATTAGGTAACTTGTCTTTATTTGCTAGCCTTACCTAGGGCTATTTTCCAAGTGTACCAAAAATGATCTGCCGAGAATAAAATGGTTAGTTGCTGGCATAGATCTACTTGCTCCTGCCTCTGAGTATTGACATTATATTGGGAATATTATAGGTGTGTGCCTTCACACCTGGCAGCTGGGATCCATTTAAGTAAACATGCCTAAGCATGTGTCTCACTCACCATGATATTCTTCATGAAGAGTTGAAAACAGCATAATTCAAATAGTAAGGAAAGATAGCTAAGATATATTTATTGAATGAGTAATTTAGACATCACAAAAGAGTTTATAATATGCTTTTGGGGATATAAGAAGGTCTATCTGCAAGTACTCTGACAGTAATTTTTAAAACACTTACTTGCTTTTTATTTTAAATGCATTGGTGTTTTACCTGTAGTTAGGTTTGTGTGAAGAGTGTCAGATCTTGGAGTTACAGTGTTGAGTTGCATGTGGGTGCTGGGATTTGAACCCAGGTCCCCTGGAATAGCAGTCAGTACCTTTAACTGCTGAGCCATCTCTCCAGCCCCATCTGCTAGTAATCTTAAACTATGCCTTTGCTTGGTGCTTTATTTTCTTCCCTTCTTTCTTTATTCCTTATTCTTCTTTTCCCCTTTCTTTTTGTTTCTTGGTATATCCTAGACTGGCCTTGAACTCTGATCTACCTACCTCTACTTTTTGAGTACTGGATTTACAGGAGTGTGCCACTATACCCAGCTAATCCAGTTACTTACTATTTAAAATTTTCCTTTTGCATTTTATAGTTTCGACATCCTGTAGTTTGTTCTCTGTACTGATTGTAGTTTGTTTTATTGTTGTTGTTTTGTGTTTTAGTGGTAACAGGAATGTAGGTTAACCAGGTATATAGATCTTGCTGAGTAAATCTTCATCCTCATTATGTTTTTTGGACAACCACATTTGGAGACAGGATGGGACATTATCATTCCTTCTGGTCCAGACAGCTTTGTGGAGTCTGGTATCTTTGTGCATATCTGAAGTCCCCATCTCTTTGATTTTTGGATTTTTTTTTTTTTCTTAAAACTATGCTTTCTAATCCAGGTGGTCCTTGAGCTTGAGGCACTCCTGCAACAGATTCCTGCTCTGAAATTAAAGATATACCCTACTGCCATACTTAGCTTAACTTGTCTGTTTCTAACCAAAGACACCAATAGTTAACAAAGTTAGAGGACACAGAGCATTTATATAGGCCAGTGGTTCTCACCCTATGGGTAATGCCTTTTTGGGGTCACATTTTTCATAACAGTAGCAAAATTACAGTTATGAAGTAGCAATGAAATAATTTTATGGTTGGAGGTCACAACAACATGAAGAAGGTGGAGCACTACTGTTCTAGGCAGTGAGACATTTTGAGGTCAGGTTTTGAAAGATGAATCAAGCTTTAAGAACTGACTGACGTTTGAGGTAGTCTCAAACTTTAAAATTACTAGTTTTGGATGACAGCCAAATTATTCATGTGAAGAAGGACAAAACACAGGAAAGGGGCCCTGGGAAACAGTTGGGTTGACTTCCACAAGCCCAGAGTTTTAGGAATAAGAATGAAACAGAAATAGATTGGTTTATGTAGGGGTAGATTTTAGAGCATAAATTAGGCTGAAGAAAGAATTAGTGAAGTAGAATGCTAGAGGAAAATTCCATACTGAGATGTTCAGACAAAAAGATTGAATATAGTCATAAGTATTCATAATTCAATTCTAGAAGAGTTCTGAGAAAGAATAGGCAGGAAAAAAATTGTTTTTTTTTTCTTTCTTTTCTTCCTTCCCTCCCCCCCACCCAAGACAGGGTTTTTTTCTCTGTAGGTTTTAGAGACTGTCTGGAACACTCTTTGTAGATTAGGCTGGCCTCAAACTCACAGAGACTTGCCTGCCTCTGCCTCCCAAGTGTTGGGAATAGAGGCGTGCAACCACCACTGCCTGGCAAATTTTTTTTTTTTTTTTTTTTTTTTTTTTTTTTTTTTTAATTTTGACCTTTTTTTGAGGCAGGGTCTTTCCTTGGCTGTTCTGGAACCCAGTATGTAAACCAGGCTGCCCTGAACTCAGAGAGGTCTACCCGCCTCTCCCTCCTAGGTGATGGGATTAAAGTGCCCAACCACGCCCAGTTCACGGAGTATAGATTTTTAACCAGACAGTATTGTTGATCTGTTTACAAGTTGGTTGTGTCAGTTTTGGTTGTTTTCGGCAGTATTTGAATGTGCTTTTGCTTCATTTCCTTGCCATTGGTTGGTGTGGCCAATTTGTTATTTGTCTGGTTGTGATTTTGTAGGGTTTTCAGTCTAGAATGGAGTAATGAGGTTGGGCACCATCTTTTGTAAGGATCCTGTTAAGTCTTGACAGTTTATCTTTCTTAGTGACTTATAGGTGTTGTTTATGCATCCTGCATATATTTGTTTGGACATATGCTCTAGATAGGAATATGCTGCTGGTGTCTTCTGACTTGTAAATGTTGTTACTGTTTGACTGTTGTGTTTCTTTTGCTTTTAATTTTTATTTTTTTAGATAGGGTCTTCCTATGGAGCCCAGGCTGCCTTGAGCTTGTAAGTCTTCTATACTAATAAAACCCCTAGGTGCTGGGGTTTACAGACATGTACTACCATGTTCTGGCTTTTTATGATATCTTGTTAAACAGAAGTTATTTCTTATTTATTTTTCTTTGCTTCTCCCTACTTTTTCAGTAGTAGAATTTAAATAGTGTTTTCTGTTATGGTTTGTCATTTTCATAGTACTGTTTATGAAGTGATGCAGTTTTTGTGTAATATAAAGCTCTCTAGACTTGCCTTCCACATTTAGGTCTGTAATCCACAGAGAATGTATGCATAGACTAATATGATGGTTTAGTTCTTTTTTAATCCCACTATGGATACTCAGTTATTCTAACTTTTTTTTTTTTTTTTGAGAAATACCACTTCCTTGCCACAAATACAAGATCTGTGTCTGTGTGGTTTGTTTCTGGACTTTTTGTCTAGTAATGTCTTGTCCCAACATAGGAGTAATTACTGTAAATAGCACAAATTAGACAATAGGAATAAATACAAATTACCAGTTTTTGTAATAAATAGATGATGGGGGGAGGGCACTGGAAAGATGGCTCAGAGGTTAAGAGCACTGGTTGCTTTTTCCAGAGGTCCCAGCAACCACATGGTGGCCCACAACCATCTATAATTCACTTCAGGGCCCTCTTCAGGCCTGCGCTGCAGGCATATGTGCAGGCAACATACTGGACCAGAGCAGAGATTTTAGATTTGTCTTCCAGGATGGTCATGTTCTTTCTATCTGCCCCTGGACTTCTGGGGATTTTCTTTTGTCTTAAACAAATCTGCCTGCCTCTGCCTCCAAGTGCTGAGATTAATTTGTGTGCCACCATGTCCAGCTCTTGCTTTTTTGTTTTGTTTTTCGTGACAGGGTTTCTTTGTGTAGCCCTGGCTGTCCTGGAACTCTTTCTGTGTACCAGGCTGGCCTCATACTCACAGAGATCTGCTTGCCTCTGCCTCCCAAGTGCTGGGATTAACTGTCTGGAGCTTTTTTTTTTTTAAAGACAGTCACTATGTAGCCTTGTTTGGCTTGGAACACTCTATGTAGACCAGTCTGGTCTTGAACTCACAGAGATTTACCTGCCTCTGTCTCCCTAGTGCTGGGATTAAAGTGTATGTTACCATGCCTTGCTTGATATTTTATTTCATCTTTCATATTTTCAGGCATTTGTGGGAGATTCCACCCCCATCCCTGCTTGTGTTGTCTATACTATTAGTCTTTCAGAGTCTTCTATTGCCCCAGGTTCTGGTTTGACCCCAAGTATGTATATGGTAGGCAGCGCTCTGCCACTGAGCTCACATAGTTTGAAGAGATGTCTTGGGGCTGGACAGATGGCTTAGGGGGTTAAGATCGCATACTGCTCTTGCAGAAGACCTAAATTTGGTTTAGCATGGTGGCTTATAACTAAGTGCTTGTTACTCTAGTTCCAAGGGATCTGATTTTCTTTTGGATTCTATGGTACCTGCACTCACATGCACATGCCCCAATACATGTACACACAAAGATGTAACTTACGTAATTCAGAAAAAAACCTATTTGTGTAGGAGGGTCATTAGTATAGAGTGGTTGTCTATGGCATTGGGTTACACATAATTTATTATCCTCATGTATCTTTCATATTTATGCAAAGCACATACTTCATAGCTTGTAACTTAAAAAGGAAAGCTGTCCTTTAAGGTCCTCTGAGTAATAGCCCTTTTTTTCCCTTTGTTGCAGGTGGTGCGGTTGTGTCAAAACCCAAAGCTGGCACTCAAGAACAGCCCACCTTATATCTTAGACCTGCTACCTGACACCTACCAGCATCTCCGCACTGTCTTGTCGAGATACGAGGGGAAGATGGAGACACTTGGAGAAAATGAATATTTTAGGGTGTTCATGGAGAATTTGATGAAGAAAACTAAGCAGACTATAAGCCTCTTCAAGGAGGGAAAAGAAAGAATGTATGAGGAGAATTCTCAGCCTAGGTAATGGAGAAATACTGCACAAATATTAATTCAGGTCTGTGACTGCCAGATGATTGCTTTGAATTTTATTTTAATGGGAGTAGAAAGCTCACATTTGATGTAAATGGTAAGCATTTGGTCATTGTTGGGTGAAATAGATTTATCTATGAAAGAAAAAGGTTGCAGGCAGTAGAGCCTTTGGATTCTTGGAGATGCAGACATTTGTGTGTAGATCAGAGTTTGAAAGAGGGTTGAGGTTGAGCTGAGGTTAGCAGAAGCTGAAGCAGATTGATAAATCACAGTCAGATAAGGGCAAAGAAGATAGTGCTTGAAATTGGTTTTTGTTTTTTATTTCAATTTTATGTATTTAATCTTTTGAGACAGGGGTTTTCTCTATAGTCCTGGCTGTCCTGGAACTCATTCTGTAGACCAGGCTGAGATCTGCCTGCCTCTGCCTCTCTAGTGCTGGGATTAAAGGTGTGGGCCACTACATCCAGCATTTTTTAATTTTTAAAAATACCTTTTACAATGTATAGGTAAGGGTTCTTTCTCACCCTCCACCATGTGAATTTTTGGGTATTGAACGCAGATCACTTGTCAGCAAACACTTTTACCTGCTGAACCATTCCTTCAACTTTTTTTTTTTTTTTTTTTTTTTTTTTAATAAAGCAAGTTGTACTGGAATTTTCTTTATGTATAAGAGCAAGTTTTAGCTAGAATAAATAGAGACAAATGTATAATACCTGCCTTCCCCTGGAGTTGGGTAAAATCTTTAGTGCTAAAGGGTGGTGGGGGTAGAGAGAATTTAGGAGCTCATAGCCTGTCCAGTTTAAAGGTGGTGAGCTCCAGATTCAGAGACAGAACCTGAGACACACACACTAGTGAACAGGCCTGAACACACATGGATATAATGTGCACACACATAAAAAAAAAAAAAAGAGACTTGAGTGGTAGAACACTCATAGCATGCACAAGGCTTTGGGTCCAATCTCAAATTAATCATTTTATATTGTTTTTTATTTGTTTTTGACATATGAGGGATTAAAATATTGCAATTTGCTTTTATTAAACAATTTAAGTCAATAAGGAACAAAACTTTAAAATGCACTTGCCAGTTATTATAAGCAAGGTTCTCTCTAATTTTAGGGATGAGAAGAGATATTGAAATATGTAATCTGTCAAGGATTTAATAGAGCTATATACACATTGCTGTGAGAATGCAGTTTTGCCTATCAGATGGTATCAAAGGTGACACAAGAAATGTTTGAGCTGAACTAGATTCTGAAGGATGAATAGAATAGTATAGGCCAGTGGTTCTCAACCTGTGGATCACAACTCTGGGATCAAATGACTCCTTCACAGGGGCACATATCAGATATCCTATATATCAGATATTTATTTTATGACTCATAACATAGTAAAATTACAGTTAAGAAGTAGCAATGAGATAATTTTATGGTTGGGGGGTCACCACAACATGAGAAACTGTATTCAAGCTGTTGCAGTATTAGGAAGGTTGTTTCTAGGTAGAGAAGTCAGCCTTTAACACAGTAGCAAGAACCTGTGGACTATGTTTAAGGAATGTGGGAAGTCTGGTTTGTCTAGAATTACTAGAGTTGGATGAGTGGAAGTCCAGTTGGAGTCAGGCTGTAAGGATTGGTTATGACTCTAGACTGTCTCTTCCAGATAATCAGTTGTCTAGAACAATTTCTTTTTTAAAAGAGCATTAAAATATTTTTTATATTTGGGGGTTGGTATTATCTCAGAGGTAGGTTCTTGCTATATTGTTCAGACTGCTCCAAACTCTGGGGCTCAAGGGGTCCTTCTGTTTCCCCTCCCCTAGAAACTGAAAATAGTAGCATGCTTCTGTATTCACTTTAGTAAATTTTAAAAATTATTTTTGTGTGTGCAGGTGCACATGCAAACAGACATGGCAGAGAGAGAGGGAGAGGGAAGGCTCTCTCCTTTACCACATGGGTTCCAGGGATTGAACTCAGGTTATCAGGCTAAACAGCAAGCATGCAGTCTTGTCAATCCTAAGAACATTTTCATAGTGAAATGGAAACTCTTCCTATCTTCTTAGAGCATACTGAACAGCATTTGATGTGCTTCTTTTAATGATTGAAGGTTTATCCCTGAAGGCCATTATAGTACACTGGCTAAGTAGATAAATTCTGAAGCTAACTTGAAGGTTTTAATCTTTTCTTAGCCTTTTTTTTTTTTTTTTTAACTATGTGATCTTTATTTCCTCATTCAGAAAAATGATATAATTATGCTTTCGTTTTGGGTTGTTGGGAGTTGTGTTCTTCTTCATTTTGGAGAAGGGTCCCTTGCATCCTTAAACTCACCACATATTGGAGAATGAACTTGAAATTCTCTGATCCTTCTGTCTCCACCTCCTGAGTTCTGGGATCGCAGGCATGCCAAGTTAATGTGATGCTGAGGATTTAGCTAAGGGCTTTGTGCATGCTGGGCAAGCACTCTACCAAGGATCTACATGCTCAGCCCCAGCTTTTATTATCTTAATTGGGTTTTTATTGTGTAGTAAACATAGATATTATAGCAGATTGTATATCGTTAATGTACAGCACCACATCAATCATGTAATTTGACCTGGCTAAAATAAGTACTTTTCATATGCATTCACAATGACTAAATGTAATTATATACTATATATAACAAAATATGTAATTTGTTCATACCAAAATTAGACTATTTTTATAAGTAAGTACCTTTGCCTCTGTTTTAAACTTCACTGATTCTATCAATTCCTGTCTCTCTCAATTTTACTTCCTAAATATGAAGAATGGATTTCTGGCTTACATTTTGGTTGCTTACAGGCTTTTTGGGGGTTGTTTTTATTTTTTACTTTATGTGTATGGTGTTTTATCTGCATATATATCTATACACCGTAGGCATACAGTGCCCACAGAGACCAGAAGAGGATGTTGGACCCCCCCTCTGGAACTAGAGCTATAATTGAAAGCCACCATTTGGGTGCTGGGAATTGGACCCATGGCCTCTGGAAAAGCTGCCAATGCTCTTAACTTCTAAGCTATCTCTAGCCCCCGAAATTTTTCTTTTTTAAAATTGATTCATATACTACAGGGCTCTGTGTTGGTTAATTTTTAATCAACCTGACTGACACAAGCTAAAGTCATCTGGAATGAGGAAACCTCAGTTGGGAAAATGTCTGTATCAGATTGGCTGGCTGTAGGAAAGTCTCTGGGGCATTTTCTTGATTAATGGTTGATGTGGGAAGGCCCAGACTACTATGGTCAGTCCCACCCTTGGTAGATGGTCCTGAATTGTATAGAAAAGCAAGCTTAAGCTGGTTGTTTATGGTGCATGCCTTTAGTTCCAGCACTCAGGAGACACAGGCAGGTGAATCTCTTCCAAGGCCAGCCTGGTCTATAGGTCAAGTTCCAGGACAGCCACGGCCACACAGAGAAACCCTGTCTTGAAAAACAAACAAATAAAAAAGCAAGCTGAGCAAGCCATTAAGCTGTACTCTGCCATTGTCTTGCAGTTCCTGCCTTGAGTTCCTGTTGTTTTCAACCTTACTAATGCTGCAGCCCTTTATTAGAGTTCTTCATGTTGTTGTGACCCCCGGCCATAAAATTCTTTGGTTGCTACCTCATAACTATAATTTTGCTACAATTATGAATAGTAATTAAATATTTTTGTAGATAGAGGCTTGCCAAAAGGGTGGAGACCCACGGGTTGACTATAAGGTGAAATAAATACTTTCCTCCACAGGCTCCTGTTTCTGCCTCTTCATGCTGATATCAGAGGTGTTTGCTGTTATGCCTGCTTTTTTTTTCATTTCCTTTTTTATCTTCCCAACAGTAGAAAGCAAACCAGGACAAACTCTTTTAAAGTATACATTTCCATTTTGCTGTATTTACGAAGTTGCCACAACTCAATTTTGGAACATTTTCATTTCTCCAACAGGAATTCCTATAGCCATTAGCAACCACTTTGTCAAGCTTTCTATTTTACTTTATTTTTATATTTACTTTCTATATCTGTAGGTTTGCCTGATCAGAACATTTTATATAGCATGCATTTCATATAAGTGGAGCCATATAATATGTATTACCTTTACTTAGTGTCTGTTTTCTTTAATTTAGCATGATTTTACTATTTGTCCATATTTATAGCATGTATCCATACATTTATTCTTAGGAGGGGAGAAACTAGCGGAGAGAGGTGCACACTGTAGCCTAGGCTGTCCCAGATTGCGACATGTAACTCAGATTGGCCTTGAATGCTCAAGTCCCAGCCTCTTGAGTGGTGGGACTACAGGTGTGAACCACTATACCCACTATATCTTTTTGTTTGTTTGTTTGTTTTGTTTTGGAGACACAGAGAAGATCCACCTGCCTCTGCCTCCTGTGTGCTGGGATTAAAAGCATTCTTTACCACTTCCCAGCTATTTCATTCTTTTTGATAGTTGATTTCTCTGTGTTTGAAACATCTTGTTTATAGATATTTGAGTTTATACTTTTTAGTTATTATAAGTAATATTGCTGTGAACATAGTAGGAGGGGAATTGCTAAGTTGTAGAGCAATTGCTTTTTTACTTTTTGAGGAAGCTCCAGACTGTTTACAAAGTGTTCTACACTCTCTAGCATTGGAATAAGGTCCTAACTTCTCACCAGCACTTGGTACTTGTAGCCATCCTGCAGGGTGTGAAGCAGTATCTGGGAAGTTTTCAAATACACTTCCCTAGTGAATAGTCTTCATGTACCTGTGTATCTTCTTTGAAGATATGTCTGTTTAAATCCTTTGCTCTTTTTTAAAATTTAAGTTTTATTTTGTTTTTATTTATCCCCTAGAGCTAGAGTTACAAGTAGTTGTGAGCCACCTTGATATGGCTGGCCAAACTCAGGTTCTCCAGAGGAACAAAAAGTACCCTTAACCAAGGAGCTGTCCTGCTCCCTGTTTTTGTTGTGCGTTTTTTGCGATATCCCTAGAACTTGCTATGTAGCTGAAGATGATCTTGAACTACCCATCTT